AATGAATCCACAAAGACTCTAAAAAGGACTATCTTTTCGTCCAAAATTTAGCCATATTAATAAATAACTAAAAATCACCAAGGGTCATTTCAAGCACCCCTTCAAAATTTAGCCAAATTCAATGAATATCTTAGAAAGTTGGATACTGCGCTAGAGCGCCAATTTGAGAGGCTATAGCGCCCATTCAGCCCGTCAACTGGCACTATGAAGCCAAGGGTGGTGTCATGACGCCATACAAAAACATCCATTTTTGCTCTATTTTATCCTCATTTTCTCCAAATGTTCATTCAATGTACCTGAAACCAAAAACATGCAAAATATCTTACTTTAATGCTCAATATCATCAAAAATAGGCATAAAATGAACACAAAATTTACCCTAAAAATAGGTTATTTTTAGGTGGATCAATTCCCCCAAACTTAAACGTTACTTGTCCTCAAGTAACACCTTTTTACTATATAAAATCTATAACTTACGGTAGTGGGTTTTAATTAAAGACTTTTATAGTTTTTATCTTATAAATGCAATAGTGAAACTTTAGAAAAATTTTCAATAACTCAAGTTAAAACTAAAATGTAAGAATATTTAATCGTCAAGTCTAGGAGCTCTGATTTCCTAACAATTTCAAGAATAATTATAATTTATCATACTAAGGATGCTTAGAAGAATTACAAGAAAAAGAAGTTTGCAAGAGCTCTATTTGTAATGATGTTAATACTTCAACAAAAAGAACAAAAATGTAAATAAGTCCCTTTCCTTAAGATGATTAAAGCGAAGCCAATTTTTTATTAGGCATCTTCTCAAGCTTCACCCCACTTTTTTTTTTTGCTTTTTCTTTTTCTTTTGGTTTTTCTTTTCTTTTTCTTTTAGGATCATTTTCAATCCATTCTTTTCTTTTCATGTCATGTGAAGATTATTATATCTAGATAGCCTTTAATGATTTTGAACCCCACCATGCTCTCTTTAAGTTAAAAACTTCTTACATTTCCTTACTTGATAAATGTGTATTAGCTTAAAAAGATTTTTCATAGAGTCTCAAATCTTTCTTTTTAAGTAAAAAAAACTAAAATCCTTATTATTTTCAAAAGTACAGTTTCCTTTACTTTAAATAGTAAAAGTATAATCTTATACTCGTGTACTAAATATCTTAACTCTAGAACTAACATTTATCATTTAAAATGTTTTACTTAAGTCTACTATATCATTTATAAAATCAAAGATATTGTTATCCAATGATAACCCAACATACCACATGTTATGTTAAAATAATTTTAAAAATACAGTTTATTGAGGACAAATAAGGTTCGGTTTAAAAAAGTTTTTCACCCTTCCCCTGAACTTAAAGTTTTTTAAGGCTTACCAAGTTCAGAGCTAATAAACTACTACTTCATGGATTAATGACTCTCCAAAAATAAAGAGAAAAAAGTAAATAAAATATTATTAAATTTAATGTTTAAAACATACAAAATTTTGCCAGGCTATATATAAAATCTAGTGTGGTAATAATATGTTTGAATATCTATACTATCCTAACTAGAGTTGTTGATCTATCCATTAAATTGGCTCAAATGAAACTATTGAATAATTCTTTATTAATTTTAGAGAGATTAAAAATCATTTATAAACTTTCATCAAGAGATTTGCATGATGATAGCCAAAGTTTTGTGTAATGGCATAGTTTATAACCTTGTATAAGGCTTTTGTGATGTTGTTGCATCACACTCTTTATATATCTATTTGACTAGCTACATCTTGTATCTTAATTAAATTTATAATACTAAAAAAAGAATTTTCATAGCACTTTGTACAAACACCCATAGCAGTAAAAAAAAACCATGATGTTCCTTGCAGCGGATGTTAAATCGCTTTACGTGTTATCGCTACAAAGGCTTTTAACAGTGATTTTAAATATTTTTAATAGCATTTTTTAAAAATTTGTTTAAATAAGCGCTGCCAAAAAAAAAATTTAATAGTGTTAATAAGATCAATTTAAAAATTTAGTTGACTTAATTCATAAATAAATTGATGGTTGTGTTAGTTCTTGTCTTTAACTCATAATCTGCCCATTTCTAATCATCTAAGAAGTAATTTGTCTTTCATGTCAAATTTCATAAAAATTAAAAGGTCTCCTACGACTCACCTTAACCATTTCATTGGGAGTACATAATTTCAACAAAAAAAATCATGGGATTGATGTCTTTTTAGGCGTGTAAAGGTTTACAATTTAACTTGCTCAATGTCACAAAAAATGATAAAGAATCCCCATATATCATATCACTAAATAAAGTATCTTAACAATAATACTCAATCATTATATTTGATTATTAATTTTCCTTATAGTAGAATCCACCTCAGAGTATCAATTAGTTGACTAATAATCTAATTTAGAAAGGTCTGATTAAAGAAATGATGATAATTCTAATGTGTCATCCAACCATAGAGAATATTTTAACCACTCTTTTGGTAATATCAATTTTTTATATAATCATTTCTATAACTTTGACTTGGACATTACATACAAATTATAGATAACTATTTCAAGCAAGTGAATAAGAGTTTTCACACATAAATCAATAAAGAATAAAACATTTATGAGAATTTTCATAATTGGCTTCTATCTCACTCATAGAACTCTTGAACTTCTTTCCCATTTAAATAGTAGCCCTTTTTGTGAGATTTACCTAGCAAATGCCTATCGAATAGTACTTTCAACACTTTATTGGCATTTGGTCTCTAATAATGATGGAAATAGAATTTAAAGAGGGGATAAATATAAAATAAAATAAATTTTTAAATTTTTAAATATAAACAAATAATAAGTTAAATAAAAAACTCATAATAAATTATAAAATAAAAAATATATTCCCATTTTTTCTTCATTACATCAAAATTATTAAAAAAAAATGATTCCACACTAAAACCCATTGCAATATTATTTTCAATATATTTTATGAGTAAACACAAAAAAATCATCTTTTATGTGATTTCATAATATTGCCTTCGCAGTCTTAAAAACTCAAAAATATAGTTTCAACTATAATTGTCAAAACTGATAGCGTCAAGATCAATCAAAAATCAAATGAGCAATAAGAGGTTATATGATTGGTTTCTTATCTTAGCTAATATATGACATAAATCAAAAAATATAGAGAGATTATAAAAATTATGATTTTAATGAGCTTCAATTTTAAAAATGCTATAATTAAAATTTTATCTATAATTTTTTTTTTGTTTTTCTTAAATCCTTAGATTAAAATTTATTTACATGTTAAAAAAATTAATTTTGAATGACATTTATAAATTTTGAAAATTCTATGCATAATTATAAATAAATAATTTCATAATGTTTTATTTAAACTTTTTATTCATCTCTTTTAATTGTGTATCTAAAGTGATTGTTAAAATAATAACATTTTGATTAAGGTCTGTTTGGGGCAGTTTATTTGGTGCGGTGGTGTTTTGAAAACGCACCCGACCTGTTTGGGTTAACTGCGTTTTGGCAGCTTATGCGTTTTGAAAACGTTGAAAGCAGTGTTTTCACACCGCACCTGGCAGCTTTCTGGCAATGGTCTGACTTTTCCAAAATAAAAAATAAAAATTTATATTAGCTACCGCACATAGCTTATCAACAGATTATTCAATAAGCTGTTGTTGCCCTAAACAGACCCTAAATAGTGTCATTTTCTTCTGACAATATGTCTTCATCCTTCATACTAAGTAGCATTCATATTTAGATTATATGAATTTTCATTTTTAACGAAATAATTTCACTCTCTAAATTAAAGGATATATATATATATAGTGACATGAATATCGATTATGATGGGAAAAAGACATCATATATTCTTTTTATCTTGAGACTTGATACATATATGTCTTCAACGCAAATTAAATTAAAAAAAAAGTACTTTTTAACAAATCCATTTTCATCAGTAAAACTTAAGACAATCATCATTTATTCCTGTTTTGATTCATCTCAAGCCTCACAACTATAATAGAATATTTTCTATGGTAATATATTTATCTCATACTAATAATTTTAAATTTCGCTTGAGAATAAAAATACAATCTTTTTTTTTTTATTAAAAAATAAAGTAAAATAATTATTGAGCTAATTACAATATTTTATGATAAATTGTTAAAACTACTTGTTAAATATTTATTAAATTAAAATATTATGAATGTTAAATTATTTTTAAGCATTTAAATTAAGAAGGTAAAATTTTACTATATTTTTTTATAATAAAATATTTAGTAAAAATTTACAGAGGCATTTACTAATCTCCAATAAAGATTTTTTCACAAGGCATACTTCTAGTAACCATTAATGACATTTTACAATGTATAAATAGGGGTGTAAATGAGACGAACACGAACGAACAGAGCTTGTGTTCGTATTCGGTTCGTTTGAAATTTAGTTTATTTGAGATAAGCTCGTGTTCGAAATTATCCGTGAAGTCACTGTTTTTATTCATTTTTTTAACGAACGAGCCGAACACGAGTTGTTCGCGAACGACCAGCCAGTTTAACATCCCTAATATTAAAACATAAAAATAATATATTATTTAATTATATAACTTATGCTATAAATATAAAATATCTATATTAGTATATTACTGATATAGTATATTAATATATTACTATTATTAATTTATTATATATTATAATTTATAAAATTTAATTTTTTAAAATATATATATTATAATTTATAAAATTCATTTTTTTATAATATAATAATTTTTTTATATATAATTATTTTAAATTATTTTACATTTCAAACAGTAACGATTCGAACACAAACTAACACATCACTGTTCGTGTTTGATTTGCTTAACTAACCGAATAAAAAAAACTTATTCGCATTCTTCTCATTTATTTATCGAACGAATCAAACATAAATTCATTGACGAACCGAACACAAACTATTCACGAACAACGAACTTTTTTATCAGTCCTATTTAATTTATTTTTGTGAAAGAACCCTATAACATTATTCCCACAAAGTGCAGGACTGTACTCCCGTATGTCATGACTCAGTGGAGGACCCGCATGTCAGCTCAAACTTATTTATGGCAGAATGGAATAGTGATTCAGCTGGCATTAAAAATAAAAAAAAATATATTGAAAAATCTTGGAAACTCGAAGGGACAACAAGCAGATACTCTTAAATGAGGAAGTACATCTTATAATACAATAATTAATAGTACGAAGTCTGTCCACATGGCTTTACTTTTTTCCTGGATGGAAATGAATAGTAGCATCTCAATCAAGAATGGCGATTCAGAGATGACCAGATTTCATTCCATTCAACCCAACCACACGCAGTTGCAGTCATTTTCTTGGTTATAATTCCACGCAGCTTCTGCCTCAAAAATATAATGCCGTCACAAGCAGAACAGTAGCTTTCTTCATCGAGAAAAGAGTACGGAGTGGAAAGAAAGCCCATCCTCATGAACTCCTTTTCTTCACCATCTTTTATGGGGGCAGTCCATCGATAAACGGGATGAAGGTTATTAGAAGATTATTGTCCCAATAACTGAGTTATTAAATTGTTATTCAAGATCATGCTCACGTGAACTGTATGCATATGAAGTAAGTAGATAGCGCTAAGACGATATGGGATTGAATTTTACTCTCTGTGAGATGGGCTGCACCAGAAGCCATTACCGAAGAAATGGTGCAGCATCTCGTTCTCAAACTCCAAGACCTCCGCAACAGGCGCCTTTGTCTGCCACTGAATATTTGCTTCTCCCGCAGATGAGGCAGAGATATCAAGGCCGGAAACATTGGACTCCATCTTTTGCTTTATAACAGCGCGGCTCCTCTTCCGCACCGCGCGGCGGAAGAGAAAAGCAGGAAGCTTTACGACGGTGAGAACGAGGAGGTTGACTAAGGCGCAAGGACAACAGCACACCACCACCGCACACCCCGCCGTTGTGCCGCCGGCAACCTCTGCTACGCGCTTGCTCAGCTTCACTCGCTCTTTCATGATCGAAGTCTATCTTCTCGCCGGGGTTTCAGCTGGCTTTGTCGTGCCAGGGATCAGAATACAAAATCACGCCATTATTTTTGGAAAGTTGGGACCTTTCAGTCCTTCTCTGGCTCTCCGGCAGCCGGCTAATGGATTTTGATCGGATGCCGGCAAAAGGGGGAGACTTTCGTGTGAATGAAATGAGATCAGGTTCCGCAAAACTTAAAAGTGCTGCTGCATCCAGATGCACGTGACGTCAATTCATCAAAGGCCACACCGCGGGGCAGGGATCTCTGATGAAGCCGGCTACAGAGGGAACGTGTCATGCCTGGCTAGTTTTGAAAGCGATGTATTGAGGGCGGCATCGCAATAGATGAGGGAATAAGAAATATCCATTTTTTGACTCTCATCATATGAAATATCGCTTTTATATTAACAACAATTTCATTGCATTCTTAATATTAATATCCTAATTTTTTTTCTATGAAGATAATGATGATTTATTTATAATCCCTAAAATATTAGTGGCTAAATGCATTAGAAGATTTCATTGTAATGATTAAAAAATCAAATTCATTTAATTGTTGATTTTATACCCCATTTATTGTACTATCTCAAGCATTATAAGTACATATGCATACATTTTGATGGGGCTAATTAATAGATGACATTTGTGAAATTTAATGGGTATCGCCAACTAGATGTAAAGTAGTTTCTTAATTTGAATAGCAATTAATAATTCAATCTCAATTTTCAAGAAATAAATAAATCCTCTAGTTTTGAATGGTTTAAAGTTAAGAACCTAAGCTCGCCACTTCGTACATTACATAACTCGTTATAGCCTTGAGCGCATTGTATTTAGGCTTTATAAATTTTTAATTAGTATAAATTAATTAGCTGTCTTAAGTGTAACCACTTTTATTGATAAAATTTATTTAATACTTATCTTTTTTTTATCAACATACCTCATAAAGAAAACCAACCGTCTTTAATTAACACATCATAATACTCATTCACTATAATGGAGAAGTATAAATCACATATATCATTTATAATAAAAATTAAGGATTTTGTTACTGCAACTTTATAAAAGTTATTTTTGTACATCTAGTGAAGTTAATTGTAACTTTATACTAGCTTTTTAAATATTCCTTTATTGACTTCTTCATTGTGATTATAAATAATGAAATAACATTAAATAGTTTTCTTGATTAGATAATTCAGTTGATTTATTGACCATGAAATAAGATCTTTATAATTGAAGTGTTTGAACATATGAAATAATTACAATCAACATTTTCTTGAAGAGAAATATTATATAAAACCAAAAAGAGTTGCAAGATCTAACAAAAGACAAAGAGAATGTATCACCATGCAAAAAAAAAAAAGAAAGAAAGATAAGAAGGAATAAACTTAGAAACACGAGTCCTCTTGGTCGAATAACAAAATAAAGTTAGCCAGCTGGTTGGTTGATTTCCTTCTCTTAAAATGAGTCTATCTAATGTCAAATTGTTGAGCCAACATTTGATTTCTCTTCAGTTACAGTTGAATGAACCGTGGCCCCTTAGTTTGGTAATACACACATCTCCATAGAGAAATTGAATCAATTTCTAATTGCAAACTCTTCCGTCTAGAAAAAATTAGCCAACAACAGAGAATTAATAATAACATCAGCCTCAACACTCAAGGGTCAAAGAACACGGGTAGAATCAGCAAAATAATCTAAATAATGACTAAAATTATTCCTAAACACTCCCTCAATACCATTTGTAGAGCTTCTAAAACTATCATCAACATTTACCTTAACCCAATTATGTATAGGTGCATTCTACCTAACCAGCTGAACTCTTGGTGTGACAAAATAAGGAATAGGTGCATTGAATTTTATATAAAGCGTAGAACACTTCTCCCCAACAATTCTTTTGGTAACCCCATATTTATGAACCATCTATAGGAATGTAGTGATATGACTGAGAGTTTTTGGCACCTTTAACATAGTCTTCTCATGTTTAACTTCAATTCTAGTCATCCAAATAAACCTGCAGATAATAATGGGTAGGAATCTATACACCCCATTCCCCATCAACTCCCATTCCAATGAACATTAATTAATAGTAGTATATCGACCAGATGAAGGTTTATCCACCAATGATTCCATTTTTTACTAAATCTGTATAGATAAACCTACGAGAAAGAAAATATAATTAAGAGATTCCTCCTCACACTTGCAAATCAAGCTACAGGAAGGAATCATGAGCCCTTTCCTCTATGCAATATTATCGGTAGGAAGGCGTTTGTGCAATAGTCTGCAGGCAAAAAAAGATTGAGAAGGCCTTAATAGTTTACTCCACAGTTATTTTAAATGTATACCATTAAGTTGCTTAGTGGGAGAAGTAGCAAAAATTTTTGAGATAGAAATTCCAAAGGTTCCTTTGATTCTAGGCTTACTCAAACCCTGCTAGATAAAATGAATCCTGGAAATAAATGCAGCAACCTATTCGCCAATCAGTTATTACAGCTTGTAGCTAGCCATCCCGGTCATTTATATTCCAACTGTCAACAACTTCAATAAAAATAGCCATAGGACCACCAAACTAGTCAGTCAACAACCCTTACTTACTTTAGTCATACAAAAAGCTGAGATTTCTTGGGTCCAACTCCCAAGTCATCAGATTTTCAGTCTCCTTAGACACCTTCAACATATCCTTCCAGATTCGAGAATCCTTCACATTGGGGGCAATGGTTAATGGGCGTAAATTGACAGCGACTTTATATATGCTTAAAAATACAAGATAAATATGGACGTATTAAATATTCAATAATTATAAAGTCACACTTATCAACGCAAGTATACGTATCACTCAAGCAATATAGGGCTCTAATGGAGTCATAGATATCGATCCCACATGGAGCAGTTTAGAATTACGGACTAAGACCTTAGAAAAGCAATACTTTAATCACAGCAACGACGTTCAATTTGCTTATCTGTCACTAATAGGCAATTGAAATAAATAGATAATTTTAATAACTAATAAATAACTAATGATATAAAGTAGGGTTTAATTGTGAT